ATAAATAGTTTTATTATAAATTAATGAAATTAAACACCAAGTTCGTTTGCAAAAAAAAGAATAGGACAATTTATTTCGAGTAAATAAATGTAAAATAATTTGCACAATAGTGGTGATATTTAGGTAATAAAGAAATAAATAATAGTTTTGAGAAATATATTTAGAGGAAGTGACGAAAAATTAATTCACGCATTTGCTTCAGGTTTTTAGCCTATTAAAGGCCACTCGGAATAGAAATTAAAGGCTGAAAACGATAAAAGAAATCAGAGCGAAAAAAATGTCTATTCGAAATAAAATTTATCAAATGGCACTGGAAAGGCATTTTAATAGCATCTCATCATTATCACATTCTTTATTGTCATCCTCTGCACGTGGATTCGTTTCCACTTTGGCTTTTCTTTCTGGATAAGCCTGGATAGTAGTGGTCTTAGTAAGGAAGTTCACTCCACCATTGATCTTGGAGAAACGATGAAGAGCCATTTTTGCATTGCACAAGGCAGATAAGCCGTCCGCAGTATCCAAATGGATCAGAGGCATCATAGCAGCACGGAGGTTTGCAAACAGACGAGGAAAGATGATCTCCTGTTCCGCAAGAAGCCGCTTCATGCGGAAACGCTCTTTTGGCTGCTCAAAACAAGCTGGACAATTCTCTGGAATTATAGGTAATCCAGCCTTTGATAAAGAAAAAGCGATAAAAGAGGATCTAAGAAAGCATGTAAGATGGCAGCATAGGCTAACAAAAAGGCAAGTGTAAAATGTTATTAGGAAGTGGCAGGTAGACATTTTGGCCAGAATATAGTCATAATAATGATGCTAGTGACACAAGGTGGAAAAATAAAAACAAATTGAATGCGCATAAAATCAGTCTAAGATGGGATGGAACTCAATCAGACGGAAATATAATAAAATAATTCTAAATTTCCTTGTTAAAAACTCAACTAAATTTAGAAGTTGTTTGACCTTGTTTTCGCAAGTCGGTTATATTCGTAGGAAGACTTAAAGAAACGCACCTAGTCCGGAGTCCATTGTATGCATCATCGTTTCCAGAGT